AGCAGCCAGGTACTATGTCAGGGATGATCATGCTTAATAATATTCCTGTGTTCGCTTTATTCGACACTGGAGCGACGCACTCCTTTATTTCACGACAATGCCTTGATGCCATCGGAGTTCATGCCATTACCGCTGTCGATACTCTCGAGGTGAGTCTAGCCTCGGGACGAAAGATAGTGACCTCAACTAAAGCTTCAAATCTCAGCCTTTCCATCGGTGGTCGTTCATTGTCTACCGACGCGTATGTTTTTGAGATGAGGGACTTTAACCTCATTCTCGGGATGGATTGGCTATCCTTTTATCACGCAGATATCAGATGTCATGACCGGGAGATTACTTTATATCTTCCGGGAGACGAGTCGATTACTTTCTTTGGCACTCGGAATCGTTCATTGTCTCATGTCGTTTCAATGGTGAAAGCTACCAAGTTGCTGCGACGAGGCAACTGCCAGGGTTATCTGGTGAGCCTTGTCGATGATTCTCAGAAAGCACGATAACCTCATGATGTCCCAGTTGTTCGTGAGTTCGAGGACATGTTCCCAGACGAGCTTCCAAGAGGACCGCCTAAACGGCAGGTGGAGTTCTCTATCGACCTCATTCCAGGAGCCGGCCCCGTATCCAAAGCCCCGTACCGTATGGCGCCGAAGGAGTTGCAGGATCTAAAGGCGCAGATTCAGGAGTTATTACGACTCGATTTCATCTGACCGAGCGTGTCATCTTGGGGAGCACCTGTTCTCTTTGTCAAGAAGAAGGACGGATCCATGCGTATGTGTATCGACTACCGGGATCTTAACCGGCTGACGATCAAGAACAAGTATCCGCTTCCCAGGATCAACGACTTATTTGATCAGTTGAGGGGAGCCTGTGTGTTTTCAAAGATTGATTTGCGATCAGGCTACCACCAACTGAAGATTAAGGAGACAAATATTGCTAAGACCGCTTTCAGGACTCGTTACGGCCATTACGAGTTCGTCGTCATGCCATTCGGCCTCAGTAATGCTCCAGCGGTTTTCATGGACCTGATGAACCGTATTTTCCATCCCTACCTCGAGAAGTTTGTTATTGTCTTTATTGACGATATTCTTATCTACTCGAAGAGCCAGAAGGAGCACGAGGAGCATCTGAGGGTGGTTCTCGAAACCCTCAAACGAGAAAAGTTATATGCTAAATTCTCCAAATCCGAGTTCTGGCTCCAGCGAGTAGCTTTTCTGGGTCATGTGATTACTCAGGCAGGTATCGAGGTGGATCCTTCTAAGGTCTCAGCTGTTCAGAACTGGTCGACACCGAAGAGTCCGTCCGAGGTTCACAGTTTTCTCGGTCTAGCTGGCTATTATCGTAGGTTTATCGAGGGCTTTTCTAAGATTGCCCTCCCACTATCCCAGCTGACGAGGAATTCTGTGAAGTTCGAGTTGACTGATCATTGTGAGTCGAGCTTTCAGGAGCTCAAGAGGAGATTAACTTCAACCCCGGTGTTGACTATTCCCGATCCTTCTCGGAGTTTCACCATTTTCAGTGATGCTTCGAAGCAGGGACTGGGATGTGGACTCATGCAGGACGACCAGGTCATTGCCTATGCTTCACGTCAGCTCAAGCCACACGAACAGAACTATCCGACGCACGACTTGGAGTTAGCCGCAGTTGTTCAGGCTCTCAAGATTTGGCGACATTATCTTTACGGCGGTCGTTGCGAGAATTTTACATATCATAAGAGCCTGCAATACATTTTCACGTAGAAGGAGCTTAACATGAGACAGCACCGTTGGCTTGAGCTTGTCAAGGATTACGATTGTTCCATTCAGTATCATCCAGGAAAGGCGAACGTCGTTGCTGACGCCCTAAGCCGAAAGGTGAGGGGTGACTTGACGTACGTCGTTACTCAACAGAGTCCGTTGATTCAGGAGTTCGCTCGGATGCAGATTCAGGCGGTCGATGCACTTCCCACAGCTGCTTCGGGGAGTGTCAGTGCCAGTATCAGTGCCATGCAGATTCAGCCGACGCTGAGAGAGAGAATCCGGCGGGAGCAGGCTTCTGACGAGTTTGTTCGAGTCATGGAGGCCAAAGTCTATGTCAAAGGCGTCGAGGGTTTTCAGTTAGGTTCAAACGGAGCATTGGAGTTCAAAGGCAGGATCGTGGTCCCGAAAGTCGAGGCGTTGCGGAAGGAAATATTATCAGAGGCTCATACCGCACCCTATCTAGCCCATCTCGGGAGCACGAAGATGTATCATGACCTGAAAGGGTCGTTCTTGTTGGAACCCACGAGGATCTCGATATGCACAAATCACAGACAAACATTCAA